ATCTGAGCTTTGGAGTAACTTCTCTTTCCAACCATTTGTTTTTCTTCGTTTCTAATTCCTCAATCGGGTAATATAACTCTCAGCTTTTCAACGTCATTCTCTCCCCTATCCCATTCTCCTCCAAATGGTATGAACCGACGAGAATGCTCAATACCCTCAATGAGTAGCTTTTTAACCCTCAATGAGTAGCTTTTTTTCAAATCCTACATTTTCGAAATTTTGGTGCAACACTCGAATGCCACCATTTTCCAGAGCTGTTCACACCAATGACTCCCGCTCCCAACTACCCCCTGTTTCATCACACCAAGCCTTTTACGACCATGTAATGACTCGACGCGACACAACAACCGTATGCGTGACACCAAGTACCATGCATGCAGATTGAATAAGAGATTTGGGAACTCTTTCAACTGCTATGAGTCATAGCTCACCAATTCTGACGCGAAAAACTTAGGCCTTGAAGCGTCAACCTTATCAAGGGCCAATATTTTTAGCCTCACAAAGTACCATAAGAGGTTAATGAGTGCAACTGTACAAAGGTCAGCTCACGGCTTACAGTACTACACGAGGGTAAAACGATTACAGCTACCCATGCCAACATTTGTATTTTTGGTTAAATCGTTAAACAGCTCTATGAGCTAATACCGTAGGGACGCATATCACGCGCTCGTTTCGTAGGCCAAATCCGGGATCAGCTCCTAGCCTTCCACCCTCCAAGGGCCGTAGAACGGTACCAGTCTCGTCTCGGAGCCTAAGAACACTGACTTGTTCATCGGCTGGCCCCTGCACTTATATAGGTCCACACCACATTCTTTCAATAACTATTCTGGATAGAAGTAAAGTGCGTGGCGCATCCCGAAAGGAATCCACCAACAGTGAAGACTCCGTCCTTGTGAGTCCTAAGTATGTCCTATGCAGTGAACTGCCAAACATAGCTTTCTAATCGTTATTATTTTTGAAGACCGAGGCTTATGATAGCGTCCTCACGCTCTTTGAAAGCGCTGAAAATGTCACCACTACTTCTGCTAAGCCCTTATCGTAAAGCCGATCAAAGGAGAGACTTGCCTTCATCCCCAAAACCTGCATAACTTGAAAACACAGCCATTTATTATGGATAGACATGCTTCACACTATGACCCTGCTTAATTCTAGCCGCTATGACCATAGGCCTCTATATCGACCCGCAATTCTCTCGAAACGCGGCGCTGTTTCCTCACAAAACATCGATCGGCTAACGCCATTGAGATTAATCGTCTGTCTCTATGCCTAAATGCGCCAGCTGGACGCAGTCCTATCTCCGAGAAGAATTTCTTCACAATTACTGACCACTAGATGCTTATCACGAATTTCATTGCCCGAATCAAAGGTCAGGAACCAACCA